CACTGCTCTGCAGGGAACTGCTGGTTAGAGAAGGTTGCATCCACGAACCTTACACGGGGCAGACTTCCCCCTTCCCTCTACCAAAGCACCTCATTAGTACAGAGCAGACAGCAGAGGGATGCACTGACATGTGAGACAGTGGAAATCTGGACAGTAACAACCAGCAGTTGTTTGCAGTGCTCTTGGTTGAATCAAGTAACTTGGCCATTCAAACTCTACATCTTAAAACACAGATTTCAACACCTAATCTCCCTGCAGTCCTAATTTAGCTTAATGAGAAAAAAGCTGCAGCAAATATGCCAAGTGGCAGACTGACATTTATGGACATACTTAAACTCTGAACATGCCCTGAAGGAGATGGGTCTTCAAAAGAGCACACTTTATTTTACACTGTTCTTGTTAACCCAAGCTGAGTTAGCTATCCTCTTAGTGTCTGGGATAACTGATATATAATGCTAACTGTAAGTATAAAATTTGATACAAAGTTCAATCTTCATTCCAGATATATCAGTGGGAACTTTTCTTCCCATAAAAGTTTTAATGCAATACAGGAGATTGATTCACCCTCACAAAATGATATGAAAGGATTCTGCTTGTTGGAACTATAACAAGAAAGCCTTAACAAGAATCAGTGCTTCCATCTATGAAGAAAAATAACAGATCTGGAAAGCAATCTAAGAAACCTCTAGCAGCAATCCTGAGATACCAGAGCTCCTTAAATGTAAATTCCAAAATCTAACAGTGCCAACAGTAAGATTACTCTACATAACCCGTTATCTATAAAACCATAAGCTCAAAGAACTCTCAGGAGATCGTTTGGTGTTTGCCAGCATTCTTATATAATTAGTGAATGTCTGGCACAGGAAAGCAGGCAACTTTTGTACCAAGAGTTTTCATATTCGGCCATCACTTTTGCATCAGGGACAGAAGTAGTTCCTAGAAAGCCCTGCCCTGACTTTTCACATTTCTGTTAAAGCTGACGCTGCTCAGCCTCTTGTTCTCGCAGGGAATGGGGAAGAAGCAGAAGCAAAACTGCCTGCAGTGCCACTCTTCAATTTGTGCTGCTGAGAGCAGATCCTGGGCCGGGGAGAATTCAGAGTCACTGTCAAGTCAGCTGCCCCCCTACACAAAAGCAAAAAACTGCCATGGAACAAGGCTGTGTGCAGAAACTCCTCACAGGGAAAATCTGTAGCTCATTCTTCACAGAGCCACGTCCTGATTTCACAGAGGTCTGTAAAAAAGGAAGAATTAATTTCTGCAAAGGACTTCAGAGGCTCAGAGGTTGTTATTTGGCCAATCTTTAGGTTCACAGTCAGCTCTCCAAAGCCCCACCAGATCAATAAAGCCTACAGCCATGATGTCTGGTAGCTCCAACCTTCCAGGAAATGAGCTTGTGAGTTTTATTCTAATTGTAAACACACAGGTGTTGACACCACCAGAATCAATAGTAAGAGGAGCACTTAATAGATTCTTGATGTCACTCAGAGAAAAGTGGGAATAAAAGGTCAAGCACTGAATTTCTCTTGCGTTCATACACTGATTCTGCCTAAACCCTCCTTGTGCAGTGCAGAGAGAACTTCTGTTCCTCAATAGCTTATCAATAAAATATCAATTTTTAAAGAGTACCTCTTGCAAGCAGCTGAATTAATTAAGGGTTTGCCAATGCACAGGAGCCAAACCAGATAAGGCCCAGAACAAATTCAGAGTTGAGCTATTCAGCCTCTATTTAACCCTTGTCTGAATGTTCTCATTCTGCATTCAGTCCAATTCCAAAGTGGCTTGATCTGCTTTGAAGTGAATTGTGTTATTCAAAACTGGCCACATCCTGGGATAAAGGTATCCAGAGAGGAAAAATTAAGCAGAAATACTTAAGCTGGAGTACATTTTCAGCATATAAAGCCTTAGATTTCATCTACACCAAAGCCTTTTGCAACAGTATAGCTGGGGAAAAAAATGACAGGCGCTGCTTTACTCACACAGTGGAGCTACTGCAGTTCAAACACTCCTGGCACCACAAGCTGCACACTGCCCAAGGCAGCTGGCTTAAAGACAGCGTGTATTCCCTCGGGGTGGGATTACTGCTCTGCATGCTATTCAGGAAACCAGGCCAGACAGCTGACCTTCATTTTCCAGGTGTGCTCATATGCCCTCTCTCGTAAGCACTGCTAAAAAGTGACAAAAAGGAATGAATCCTGAAAAGAAAACTCCTTTACAGAGCTTGCAAGAGAAATGACAACTGCAGCCACCAGAGAAAAGGTGAAATGAGTGCTGCTGCTAGAGGACAGCTGTTAATTGGTCTATGAGGATTTGTGTTTATGACAGTGAAAGCTAACGTGCAATAGAACTAAGGCTGCAAACACAGTCGTGCTGTTTTGTTCAGCCTCACAGCAAAACTCTGACTTTCTGCACTGGAATTGCTAGAGCAGAAGACACTGAGTTTTACTAAAGGCAAATCACCCAAAAAACTTTGGGCTTTTTTTCTGAACTCTCAGACTTCTAACACTGCTGTGAAATACAATGCACAGAGCACATCCCTGGCTGCTTCAAGCCAGTGTTGTTCTGCAACCAGGGGTGCATTTAGAGACAGATCACCACAGGTTCTCTGGGAAAGCACCTCAGTATCCTTGAAATGTAATTAGAGAACCACGAGGGGATTTAATCTTGTTGAGATCTCACAGTAGAACAGTGTTTAACCCTGGCACTTAATGCCCTCCACCTAATAAACAAAATAAAAATTCCAATCAGCCAGAGGAACAACTGAGACAGGCCCTTTCATGAAGTCCACCACGACAAATGCCAATCTTGTATTCGCTGGAGTGGCACAGCATGGAAACAAGTCACCTCCTTCCTGGCTCACTTTAAATGGTTCACAGATCCATGTACAACCCACGAGACAGCACCAGCCTGAATTTCACTGCATTTGTGTAAGTTAGCCCACGTGTGCATGAGGAATGGGCACACTTGAGCCTTGCCAGCAGTACAGCCCTTACAGACAAGGCCCCCAGGAGGAAACACCAAGAACATTTCCACTGCTGACTGCCAGATTTTTCCAGGCGTGAGTTGGCCAACGAATCCTAGAATTCTCAAGACCAAGGCAGGGCAGTGAGGATGTGAACGTTTGGGTGAATGCTAACGGCCCTCTAACCTCATGGGAGGAGACCACAGAGGGGGTCAGAGGTTCTTCAAGAGAAAACCAGTCACAGAAGCACCTTTTAAAGAAGATCTCCCTCCTCTGCTGTTATTGTTCAGAGCAACAAACAGTTGTCACTGACATGCAGACAAGGAGTTGACGGCTCACCTCAGGATACATGGTATTGAAAAGACAGAAAATAAAATCACCAGCTGCTGCTCTGGACAAGAGTAAGTTATTTACAAAGTGAAAGCAGTAAATTAGCTTAATGGCAAGACCACATGCTGCGGTACAGATCAAACCATTTTTTTGTTTTCCACTTCCAGCTGACAGGATTGCGATTACTCAAGGAAATCGAGTTCATTATCTTGTCTCTTTTGAGAAAGGAAAGAAAACCTGGGGCATAGAGACCAAGAAAGGAATGAGAAAACCACCATGAAAATACAGTCAAGGGGGAATGACTGGCGGCTGCATGAGGAATGTAATCTTGTAAATGGACCAGAGTGCAGCGAAAGCAGAGGCAGAGGAGAGGAATCAAGGGGGATTTAGACAGATTGAGGCAGAACTCTCAGGAAACAGGGACTCCATATCAGAATTACTGTGCTTTTTTAGGAACATAACTAGAATATGAGAAGTGCTTAAATCTGCGGCGTGGATTAGTGGATTAGCCAAGTTAACCATCCCAACACTGCGCAGCGTCAGACAGCATGGCTGTCTGAAAAGACAGTAAGTTGTCTGGAAAAGAGCTACAGCAAAGCACCGCCACTGCAAGCAATAAACTCCATGCCAGCGTAGATCAGAGTAGGTAGAAGATTGGATTTTGGTTCTGAACGCTGAACACTGAGGTATGAACGAGCTCCACAAGGCGCCTCTGCAGATACACGGATGTGAAGTGCACTGCTGTGAGCACTGCAGAACATCACAGCACCAGGGGATCGCTGAGGTGGAGCCCTGGGCATCCTGTGCTCTAACACTGCAATCCAGATTAAAGATATTCTTGTGGGAATGCTGAAATCACTACTGAAATTACAGAGAAAATCAATGAGCTCTATTATTTCCCAGCCATTCCTGTGGCTTTCATTGCCATTTTCATTGCTTAACTTACAGTTAAGCTCATACTAAGATTTCTGTTTTCACTTATTTTGACACCAAGTTTGTGGCTATCTATGGGATATGTTCAACAGAACTGGATAACCCTTCAGCTCCCTTCCAGTCCAAGCCCTTCTACAGTTCTACGCTATGTTCTCAGAGTAGTTGAGATCTGATCGTAAAAAAAAAGCATATTAATATAATCTTCAGCTGAAACAACTGAATATATTGCTTCTACTGTGAAAAAAGATGCTCACCATACACGTGTATGTATAACACCACATGTAAGTAGTACAATCAGCTTTCCTTCACAAGTGGATTACTAATCACAGTGTGGGTACTGAAAAACCATACTTCCACGCAGCTGATACAAGCATTATGCTTTTTCAAACATTATCTTTTGTTTCAAAACGTGTAACTTCATAAAACTCACAAGAAAGCCTAACTGGCATTACCTGAAGCCTTTACAGGTGTGTCTACATTAAAATGTTATCTTCAGTTATTTATTTGACCGTGCACAACCTTCTCAAATACGTCCCTGCCTCCTTTTCTGCATTCACTGTTCCAGAACTGGCAAAACTGAGTGTTATGCATGCAATTTTGTTAAGCAGGGCCACTTTTCACACCTCGTTCAGCAGGAACCCAGAAGGTGCCATTCCATCAACAAGCCGGGATCAAGGAGTTGCTGTGATCAGTGTGAAACATCTTCACCTGGCCTCTGGCAGGCCTGTATTTACACGAGGAAGAGGCCACAATAAAAGCAGCATGGCTGGGGGCCCTAGAGGAAGATAGCCTTGCTTCCCAGTCATCTGGGCAGTGTGTAGCCCCTATTTTATGTAGGTTATGGGGAGGTGATGGGACTGCCTGTGGTGAGAAGGGAGGCTTGATTCTCTTCTCTGAGGAGCAGGCCAGGCTATTGAAGAGGTAAGTTCACCACCTTGCCTAGGGAACCTGTTTTATTCTGCAAGTCATACTTCAGTTCAGGCTACTTTATAAAGGTGATGCTCTTAATTTTTATGCTTTTGTGAGTCTTGCAGCTTAAAACTCTGAAGCCCTCATTCCAAAGGCAGGATACTGACAGGACTAAGGAACTTGTCTTTTCTTTCTAAGAAAATAAATGTTTCTCTACAGAAGTGGAGCTTAGGGTTGTTGTTATACTAACGTGACACCGCCCCCTTTGAATGAATCACAAGGGCAGAGCATATAAAAACAACTCCTTTCTGGGGCTGCTTAAACACTGCATTTTCATTACAAGTGTAACCGTAATAACTCCTTGTGAGTTAACGAGGGTGTCAGAAATGAACAGCCCAAAGTAGCTGTGGAAGCTTGCTGGCTTCTCTCCCTCTCTGTGGAAAGACTACTTTAAAACCAGTGTGCACTTGTTCCCTAAGGCTGCATGGGATTTCCAGCCACTGGCTTCCTATGTCTGGCTCATCCTGCTGCGGGAAAATCGAGTTTCTAAGGGCATTTGCTCACTGATTCCCTTGGTGATGTGGTACCAACGTTAAGAACTTTTTGCAAGGGGAAAGAGATGTACCTGAAGGGCATTTTCTTAAGTAAGGGAAGTAAGCATAGACGTAACAATGCGATATTAGCAGCTCAGCAGCACTAACCTGCGATTTTAAACTTGGTGCTGCAAGGGTAACTAAACAAGGCAATGTGGGCAGAGCCATGTCTGTGGTGAGGACTTTATCACACAGGGCTGAGTACTGGAGGAGGCAGTGTGAGGCTGAGGAGAAGCTCCATGGCAGCAAGAGTGAGGCTGGGAGCTCTGACGTGTGCCAGCTGCAGATAGGGCTGCTGCTCTCTGCCCTCTCCAGCTGTATGCAACTTTTTCCACCAAATCTAACAGCTGAGCTGTTTGTAAAACTGCTAACCTGATCTACTTGCCTACCACAGGTCTTTGTTCCTTAACTTACTGCTGAAACTGCATAAGCTTGTGTGCCTTGCTCTGACTGAAAGCAGAAGGTTGGATGGCTCATCTGAACAAGGGGTAACAAGCAGCTGGAAATGGTGCTCTCAGCTCTGCACAGCTGCTGTGATAGCAGGGCATGTAAAGAATGTAAAGGTGGATAACTTTAGAGGCTTTCTTTTCTCAGCAGAAATAAAACCACACCACTTCCTGGACTGAACTTCTGGAAAAAAATCATAGTAATTTCACCTGGACCTTATTAGCCTTACAATTAGAAGAACTTTTTTTTCACCACCTTGTGTTCTGGGAGAGAAAGTGACTTAACTGGATTAAGCTGGGCTGACAGGTGAGTACTCATGCACTGAAGAGTCTATTCCAAAGACTAAAATTGGAAGCCAAATGTCTAAAGCACCTCTAGAAGATTCCCCTGCATTACAAATCAGTAATTTGTAATCATTCTCGACATTCAGTCTGCAGATGGGATGGCTCTGTTTCCCCATATATGGGGACAATGGTTCTTCCTCTGACTTTTCTCTCTTCCCCTTCTTCCTACTGCAGGATGTTCTCCATTACAGAGCTAGCAGCAGTCTGTGCCAACAGAGGAACAGAAAACGCGCTCATCCTTAGTGAGGCTCTCCATAAGCATCTTCACATGCACAGAGATTTTTCTTTAAGGCAATGTAAATAGCATCTTTTTCCACTGCTTTTTAACATAGAATTTACTTTTGCTTCTCAAACTGGTGACTTGCAATTAACTCTGCTTGCCCAGCAGGCTGCCCCTGACCAGAAGCCTGCTATGCTTAATGAAACACCAGCTGAGCTTCTTGGATCCAAGCATGTGAAGTGAGGGGGCATGTAAGCATCTGTTTGGGTGGGTACACATTCCCCTGTAATGAGGGCAATCTTGCACTTTATTTCTTTCACACAACAAACAGAAGGGGGAAAAAGTCAGCTGCTCTACATAACAGCCTTCTGACCACTGAGGAGATGACTTGTGCACACATGAGAGCATGCAGACTGACAAACACAAATCCTCTGCCACAGCACTACTAAGTAAAATCCCCCATATCTCCTGTCTGGGGGAAGACAACATTGCTCCAAGTTAGTCAAGCAATTCTTTCAGTGAAGGAATGGATAAATCTAATAACACAATGCTTTAGTGCATTTTTGTTATCTCAAAGGCTGACTGTGGAAATGGCTCTTCTTGCTCTTGCCTTCTGCCTTGGCCTGTCATTCTCCCAAGTATACAATATCTAGTCATGAACATAATCAACTGAAAGGCTGAATAATCTGACAGGTTCCCTGTAAGTATCTTCTGTACCTAACACTGACATCCCAGTCAAACCTTACTTCAGGAAAAATCTGATAATGGAATCTTATGTTCATAGATACAACTGAAAATCCCAGCTGTCAGTGAGGATTTAGCAATGTGCAGCTGAGAGGTGGCTCCTGTTCTCATTGAAAAGTACCTCAGTTACTGGAAGGTACCTTCTGGATGGAGCCTTCCAATGGTCTTGCTGTGCATACCAGGACATCCTGCCAAACACCTGGAAACTTGACAGTAATGCCCAATGAGGATGTTGCCTCCCTCTTTTGTCTTTACTGCTGCCCTGGTGGTGATATTACAAAGATGCTGATTCTTTTTCTCTGTGGGTGCTTGTGATGCACTCTCGGGATGAAAAGGTAACTGCTGAGAGTACTGAGCATTACGTTAAAAAAAGAAAAACAGGATTATACTGTTTGCATCAAATGTGTCCATACACGAGCTATTCCTTAAGGTGTGTGAGCAGCAAAAAAAGGCTGTCTCATCCATTTACAGAACTGGTTTTTTTTTTTATGATCTACAGGAAGAAAAAAATCTCATACTTGGAAATGAACTAATGGAGTTCTGTGCTTGTTACCTGTATGTGGGAGCCCAGCAACATGTCTCATACTTCTGTATAGGGTTTGACTGACTAGATGGAAACAGAGCATTGGTTTGCTCTTTAACTGAGGGTCTGAACTCAAATTTCAAGCTGCCTTAATTTCCCAGTTTAGAGCTGGGGAAATACAAAAGGGTTATAGAGCTTGTAAAGTCAGAGTGCAGTGGCCTGCAGTCTTACTAACTTCATGTAAAATTTTCACTCTTGACATTCTTTCCAGATCCACTTCAACTCTGAGATGATGTGTAAGAAAGCTGAATTAGTTTCCATGCTTCTGAACAAGTGTTAGTTAAGACATAATGCTGTCGCACGTGGCAACTAATTTGTTATTGTAATAGAAGAGCTCTTGATGTACCTCCCTCCTTCTTCTGCCTAGAGCACAACACTGCTTCCAATGCTACAGGAAAGCTGCACTAACTCTAAAATACAGAAAACTGATTAGAGCTCATTCAAACTGTCTATGGGAAGAACAGCAACGCTGTTAAAAGCACGACTATTTCTCCAATGAAAGAGAACTGGGGGAGTGCTGCGATGAAGTTTTTTGGATGTTGTGAAGTGTTGTGGGTTGTGTTGAGGAAGAGGCAGGTATAACCAAACCTGGTAAAACTGCTCTGGTGGTGGTTGCAGATGTGCCTCATGAACTGCGTGTGATAAGCATGGAGAGCCTGTCCTGTCTTCAGCCTGCTGTAACTACAGATCATCAGAGCGGAATATCTGTTGATGCTGAAGACAATTCTGATAAGGTACTGATGAGATAAAGATACCTCAACCACAATGACACTTAAATACCACGTATAACCTGGTTAAAGCTTTTAGGTGAAGCTGGCATCTCTGAAACAAAGACCTACCAACTCTGTCAGGGCGTGAACTTGTGCTGCAGCTTGTGTTCAGCCCTTTCTTGAGGAGCACCCAGGAAAGTGGTACCAGATCAAATCCTCAGGTTACGTAAATGAAGTCTATGTCTTCAATGGGAAGAACTTTTCCTCTTTAAAAAAAACCAAAAAAACAAACCAAAACAACAACAACAAAAAAAAACAAACAAAAAACCAATGGACTTGAGTGGGGAGCTCCAATTTATGTCTCCCAGCTTGCACCAATGCAGCTTTAAAATCAGCTAGATGCAAGTTTTGCTTTTGGATCTCTACAGAGTACACTTCTACTACTACTAGCTTCTGGGCTGCCCTGTTCCCTCCTAGGAGGGCAGCATCTCCTAACCAGTTCAGTGATTCGTCTTCCTTGTCAGCTGCAGGAAATCCAAACAAGCCAAAATCTGAGGGAGCACACAGAGGGAAAACACAGAGGAGACTTCTAAAGCCAGCTGAAGCTGCCACCTTGTCATTCCTGTCAATACTGCAATAAATAAATAAGAGAATAGTCAGGTAAAGATTGACTGACCTGACAAGAATAAACTGGAAACCCAATCTGATGGAACTTCTGTTTGGATTTGTCTGCGAGTGCTGCAACAAACCAGTCACTTTCCTATTTTAGGAAAGTAGGAAACAAGGCACAATTGTGATTTATCACAGTTCTTGTGTGTGTGGCAGGAACAAGGTAGAGGTTGGAGACGAATCCCATTTTCTGCAGATTAAAAACAAGGTTGGTTGTTCATAAGGATGTAATTATAACTAATACAATTACTGCAGTTGCATCCATCCTCCCAAGATACTAATGCCCTTGAAAAATAATTGATTTCCTAGATGGAAAAATAAAGATGAGAACTGGAAGAAGCTCTGGGAAACTGGAAGACCTTGCAAAGGAAACCTCAGAGATTTCAGGGAGCAGGACAGTCTCCAAAGTGTTTTGCCTACAAAAGTCTGAGTGCCTGAGCTCTGGTATGTGCTTACACTGACCACAAGCACTAGCTTCATGAGTCCATAATTATTCTGCCCTACAGTTAATGCTCTCCTCATGCTTTGTTTACTATATCTATTTGTTTCAGGAGCCTTCTGAAGTGCAGCAAGGTACTGCATAGCCTTTAATGGAAGTTCATGGAGGAAAGTTACCCTAAATTGCTAAGTGTCTAGGTGGCAATTACCGAAGGTGAACATTCTGATGAGGCTCTTCTGCAAAGCAGCAAATACCAGAGGTGGTATCTTCTCTGGATTGTAAGTTTTAAAATAGAAAATGGATATGCTTACTTAGTACCTTAACCATGCTACAAGAGTCAACTGGCTTTCCTGAGCTCCTTCCTCCTTGCTGGTCTGAGATCAACTAAAACACTGCTCTGCAGTTTGCCAGAGAAACTGCCCCAGTGCAGGGGGAAGCTGCGGAGGGAGTGGCAGAGCACAGAGCAGTCAGACTGAATGCACTTGAGATGACAGGACCAGCCGTGCACAAATACTTGTGGAAATGAAGCTCAGTAATTACAGATGCCTTCCTCTGGCATATTCACTAACCGAACTGCTATTACTTATGGCCAAACAAACAGAATGTATTCTCAGAGTGCTAGACCACCAAAACGCTGTATTTTAAGCAGTGCCCTTAGAACCATGAGTTAATGAATGAACCTGTAAGGTCTGATAACAAGAACTGTCTCTCAAGAAGTGACAAGCTATAGAAGTTCTTGATGATTGCTTTCCATCTTTCATTGTAACACACTGTGCTGTTGGTATTTAGTTAACTGGTGCCACAAAAAAAAAAACCTAGTGTAATAAAATGGGTATTCTCTTTGCCTGCTAATATCAAATATTTCTCCTTTTGGTTTTCATCTTAAGTAACAAAATCTATGGGAAGAGGGAGTAAAATATTCTGGTCTGAATTTGATGCTAGCCACAGCATGCTTCTGTGCTGCTGTCATAAAGGAAGGGAAGCATATCTTGGTGTTAAGTCAGAGGGTGGATTCAGGCTGTAATTTAATGTGCACAGCAGCATGTCCCAATCAGCTTGAAAGCCTGTAGTTAGTCTCTTCTCAGGAGCCACTAATGAACAGACTTTTGGTTGAGGGTGCTTCGTTACTCAATGTGAACTCCATTTCCACATCGCCTGTTCTTGTATTACTTGGATTAAAGTGAGTATTCTGGAAAATTGATTCCTCAGTGATGCCCTCTACCATGTAAACCTATCTTGTCACAAGAAGAATTACATATATCTGAAGTACTACTGTGATGGCTTGTGGCGCTCAAAGCAAGCTTGCAGGGTGTGCTTAAGTTGAGGGGCATGAACTCCTTCCCTCCTGGGCAGAGCAGAAAGTTTTCAAGTACTCCAAATACAAACCTAACAGCTTCTCAGAGGCTGTTTTTCTCTTCCTTTTTTTACTAAGGGCACTAAGTTAGCACATGCAGTAGTACAGGAGGCAGAAGTAAAGCATCTCTGTACCATTCTAGAATACACACCCTCAAAAAAGGAGGGCTGAGCTGGTGGCTGCCTTACAGAGAATGAGGCCACATCTGGGCATGAGCTGCTTCCTGTGTAGATGGCGCAGTGTCTCAGGGCTTTCTCTCATAAATGAGGAATGCCTGTTCTGCCATTTTCCTGTTATGATAGAGGCATACTTCCATGTTATTCAACTATTTCAACTTAAGAAGTTCCACCTATGAAATATGTAGAGAAATACTTTCCAGATTCTCCAATTCTTGAGCTATTGGGTTTACTTTTATCATCTTTCTCCCAAAAGTCAAAAAGCATTTTCTGCTGAAGTTACCAAACAACAAAAGCAATTTTTCATCCATAGCTGGACACAGACCTTCAGTCAAATTCTGCTTCTGGCAAAGAACACGCACAAACAAGTAAAAACAAACATGTGAAAGTTTGTACCTTAGGCTTAATTCTCCTAACGCTTCTCATCTCTACCAGAAGCTCAGTCTCATCTCGTCAGAAGCTTATGCTTTTCCTAATTACTCGCACAAAACGTTCTTAAATCATATTTTGACAGCCGAAATCTTACATCTCCATAAACAAAAAGAACTGTCAATATTACTAGTGCAGAAGCAAAGGAACCAGATGCACCAGAACTAAAAGCTGGGGGGAGGGGACAGTGATTCATAAGTTCAGAAAAGCATCTGCCAATAGTTTGATAGCAGCCGAATCCAACCGAGTAACTCAGATTGTGCTACAGCTGGCACGGAGATTATCAGCACCTCGCCAGCCAAAAACGCGCTCAGGAACAACAGCACTGGAGCAAGAGAGTATTTGCTTTGGTCCCGTCCTTCCCATTATGGGAAATAAAATACAACCGCTGTTTTTCTCGTGCTTTAAGGCCAACCTGGCACCTGCCCGCTCCGCGGAGAAGGATCTGCTATGCTGAATTCAGGAGCTGTGCGTGTCTCCCATCGTTACAACACGCGGGCCTCACGCTGAGCCGTTCCCGTCCCCAGGGCTGTTAGGCCGCACGCAGGGACGTCCCGAGCCCGCGTCTGCCTCACCGCGCCGGCATTAAACTCGTGCTCGGCCAGCACGCAGAGCGACAAGGCGAAAACTTTTACCGCGAACCGCATAGAGACATTAAGAACCGGAGCGCGGCAGAGCTGCCGCTGAAGGAGCCCGCAGTGCCCGCACGGAGCCGCACCGCGTCCTTAGGGACAGAGCCCGCAACCCGCGGCGGGGGGGGAGGACGCGCTAGGAACAGCCCCGGCTGGGGGAGAGCGTTGCCATGACAACCGCCCTCACACCGGGAAACCGCGATACCCAACCCCCTCTCTCCCCCCCCCCCATCCCCCGGCCCCTCCCGCGGCCCGTTCGCTTGCTCGCCCGCCTCCCCCTCGGGCCCCCGTCGGGCGGATACAGCTTGAAGCCCCGGAGGATCTCCTTGGCCCGCTCGTCCGTGGCCGACATGGTCCTGCCGCGCCGCGCCGCGGGCGGAGGGCGCTGCGCCGGGCTCGCCTGGCTGCGCGGGCCTGGGCGGGAGCGGCGCTGACGGCGGCGCCTCAGGACCCCCCGCCCCTCCCCCTCGCACTCCCTCGCACCCGCCACCGGCCGCCGCAGCCAATCCCGCCTGCCGCTCTCCCCGCCCCGACGGGACGGCCAATCGAGAGCCGCCGACGCCCCTGCCAGCTGAAGAAGGACGGCGGAACGGACCAATCGGACGGCGCGTCCCTTCTCCGTTTATTCGAGGGCGGCTGCGCTCGGCCCGGCTGCGGCTGACGTCGACGGGGACGGGAGTCGCCCCAGGCCAAACCTCGGCCGATCGGCGCGTGCCCGGAGCTGGGCCGTTCTTTAATACGTTAACGTATTGCGCCCCTCTCCTAACGGTCCGCGTGCGGGAGAAAAACCGAAGCGCGGCGCAGGCTGCCTCAGAGCTCCTCAGTACAGCGCCGTGGCGCAGCCCCGCTGCGGAGCGCTGGGCGGCGGCCGAGGCCGCGTCGAACGCGCGACGGCGTTTCGTTACAAGTGACCTTAACGCCGCCCCATAGCTTAACATGGAACGGCCTCGCTGCATTCTGGACAGCGCGCCGCTTCCCAATGCGTCCAGGGAAGGGCAGCGAGCGCTCCCGAAGAAAAGCTGGCAGGGAGGCAGGGAGAGCGCGGGCGGCAGCAGATGTGGAGGAGGCCAAAGCGAGCGGTCGTGTGCGAGGGAAGAGCGTGTGGGGCAGCAGCGCGGCGCGCCGCTCTGCCCGCAGCGCGGGGGGCTCCGTCCCGCCCCTCTTGGGGCTCCTGGGAGGCGGCAGCCGGAGAGAAGCGGCTCTGGCAGTGAGCAACCCCTGCGGCAGAGGAGGGCTCCCGGCACGCGGCTGGCGGTGCTTCCAGATGTCGGTGTTGGGGCCTTTGTGGTTTTGACACGGGTTCCCAAGCTCTCCACGCTGTGTGAGGAGGTACGTGCTTGGCAGCCTCTGCGTCTCTCAGTTTTGACCCCCCTCCCCCCAAAATTAAGGAAGAGGTGTGCAGTCTGGGGAATGCACCGGGCTCTGGTACCTGAGACAGCTTAACTCAGGAGGTTCAGATCGGGTATCAGGAAAAGGTTCTTCAGTTAGAGGTTGGCTGGGTGGTGGCACAGGTTGCTGGAGTTCAGCAAGTGTCTGCACGGTGCTGTCAAACACGTGGTCTGAGTTGAATCACAGAATATCCTACATTGGAAGGGACCCATAGGAATCGTTGAACGCAACTCCTGGTTGGAAGTTCCACACAGAACCACTTGGAACTCAGATCATGTGTTTAACAGCACTGTGCAGGCGCTTTCTGAACTCCAGCAACTTGTGCCACCACACAGCCAACCTCTAACTGAAGAACCTTTTCCTGTCCAGAGTGATGGAAACCCTGAGTTCTTTCCTCTCAAAATACTTTTTCTTGCAAGACTCACTATTCCCTTGCACCACTTTGTTCTAAAAAGCTCACCTTTGCTCTTACACCTCTGGAGCATGCAGATCTAGCAGGCATCACAGTCTCTGAGGTGTCACTGCAGGTGAAGAGATGCCTCCAGCCTTCTTTCTGCCTCCCCAGAGCACATGTGCAATGCTGTTCTCCAAAGGTATCGGTACAAGAGCTGGTGTTTCAGGGAGATAGGTTCATAAGCTGGGGCCTTCTCCCAGCTGACACTATCCAGATGCCCACATTTCTTGTGGCTTACTCAAGGTGAGAGATGATTAGTCTCTGGATCCTGGGAAACGTAGAGAGTTTGAGAGCTTCTTTAGCAACTCTTGGCTGTCCCCAGCACCTTGTGCTCTAGAGATGTGCATTGGCAGCTATGGTGTTGAAAGCCTGAAAGGAGGGAGAAAATAAATGAGTGAAGTATGGTGGAAGCATGTGCGGATGAGGAATGAAGCTACATCCAGGATGGTGTTAACATTTACACAGCCCAGCTTACCCATAGGCCTACTGTCAGTTGGGTCAGGCACAGGTGCTCCTGCTTTTAACATAGCTGTGGTGCCAGCAGCTGATTTTGTTTTGCTTTAAGTTAGTTGGAAATTAAATTAATAGATGCTTTAGAGATCGGATCCTAATCCTAGATAAACCTAGCCTAGTGCATAGTTTCTTAATATAATGTGTATTTTGTGGATTATTGGTAAGCTCCCATGTTGTCCTAAGTATTTTTCTTCACAAGAGTTTTTTTTATTTATTTATTTAAACCACTTTATTTATGGAAGTTGAGGAAAAAGAGAAGAAACACAAAAGTAC